CTCCTTTTGCTTCCACTGGGAGATCTTTTAGACTGAGGACAAATCTTATCAGTGGAAAATTTCCCTTTTTCAGTCAGCCTTGGTTTTTCTTTACTTAATTTTAAGCCACTATTTTAAATTATCCTTTCCTGTACTGCTTTAAGCAATTCCTTGACATAGGGAGTCATGATATAGGCACTGATACTTAGGAAAAGATTCTGGAAATGTTGACAACATTATTTGGCAGAAGACAAAATACAAATGTGCCTGCAGAACATTCTGGTCCTGTCTACTGGTTGATGAATAAACAAATCAGACTAGTTGTCTAGAAATAATATCTCAACTTGAACTAACTGAAATAGTTTAGTGGACAGTCAGTGCCAAGACTTCTAAAATATATCTAGGGACCTACCAAATTTGTGGTGGAAATGGGATGTGTGGTGGCTCCTTTAATCTTGCAGGTTCCCCTGCACGCCCCCCCTGCTGTTGATTAGCCAAGGGGCCCCGACAGCCTTGCTGTTTGGTTCTGAGCAGCTGGGAGGTAAAAATGGCATCATATTTAAAACGTAAACTTTGCCTCCCTGCCAAATCAGGAGCAAGTGGCATGGCCCCTTTGCCAATCGGGGGGGGGGGGGGGGGGGGGGCGGGGACCTGTAAGATTAAAGGAGCTGCCGCACAGCCCACTTCTACCACTAATTCAGTAGGTCCCTAAATATATCAAATGAACTTTGCTGAGTCGGAATACAGGCAAATGTAGTAACACTGTATCAATATTAGGCCTGTGCAAATAGGGGAGTATTCGATTTGGATTCAGCGGACAGTAATTCGATTCAGATCACTGTCCTGAATCGACTCAGCCGAATCAACTTCAGAAGATTTGGCGCCGATTCGGAACGATTTGGATCAGCCAAGGAGAGGCAGGCACAGCCGGGTGGTTCCTCTGGCTGTGCCTGTCTCTCCCTGGGCAGGGGCAGCTGTAGTAGGAGAAGCTCCTATGGCTGCCCTGCATGGCCCCATCCCCTGCCTGGCCCAAGCCTAGTCCTGGCACTTCAAAAAGCCTCGCACTCACTGGCTGTAGCAGGAGCTGTGGGGGCTCTGTGGCCTCCTGCTCCCCGATCCCTGCTCCCAGCAGTCTGGCAATTTAAAAAAAAAAGCCCTGCACTCACCAGCTGTAGCAATGGGGATCAGGGACTGAAGGCTCATGGCAGAGCCCCCTCCCCCGCCTCCTCCCATGCAGTGTGGGGCAGCAGGGATTACCCCTCCCTCTGCCTGGCACCTGTGCAGAAGCTGCCTCATGGCGCGAGTGCAGCGCAACTCAGCAGGGCACCGCATGCTGCCTGGGAGCTGGGGCCACTGGGGCTGAGTGGTGCCGGGGGCTGGCTGACCCGTGGACCTGTCCCAGCTCCCAGACAGCACACGGTGCCTTGCCAAGTCACACTGCACCTGCGCCATGGGGCAGCTGCTGTGCAGATGCCAGGCAGGGGGGCAATCCCTGCTGCCCTCCACTGCCCTGCGCTGCATGGGAGGACTCTGCAATGAGCCCCCAATCCCTGCTGCCAGAGCCTGTGAGTGTGGGACTTTTTTCCCATGCCCCCCTGCACCCCTCCCTGGTTGGACAGCTTGTCCCAATCCCAATTCCTCCCTCCCCCATGCTTCTTCCTTCCCCCCTCCCCCAACCCCAACAGATTTACCAGCTGGAGGCAGCTGTCAGCTGCCTGTTTAGTCTATGGCTGAATCGGCTAAAACTTTTCCGAATCAATTCGGATGCTTCAAATCAATTCGGAGCTTTTACTTGGTCTCCCGATTCAATTCAGATTCGGAGATCCGATCCCTGAATCTCCTCCAAACCAAATCAGTTACCAAAGCTTCACACAGCCTTAATCAATATCAAATTATACTAATATAAGGTGTTACAATGTAACAGTTCCATCTGTATGCTCCTGTACCAATACAAGTACAGCAAACCCTTTGCAATTTTAACCCTGTTTCAATTCAGGGTAAAGTTACTATGACTTAGCACACTTTTATCATTACAGGAGCATGCAGACTTAAGAGTTATAGTGAAATAGCTGATGCATACTGCTGAGTGAAAGCTCCCTCTCTCCCCTTTTAAAATGATTAAAATTCATGTTTGTCCATAGCCCCAGAATATAATATAGGGTGGGCTGCTACATAGTAAAATAGAGTGTACCAGGATCTGCCCATGTCATGAACACTGCATAAGGACCTGTCAATGACAGAAGTTACTGTATATTGAATATATGTTTTATCTACATGAATGCATAAATCTAATTTAATAGGGAGTGGGAGAAATAACAATCAAAGCATGGGGGAGCAGAGAGAAGAAGAGAGAACAGCCCCAGATAATGACAACTAAACACACACTTGAAAGAAAATGGACAAAACTTCCAGTTTGCAGAGTCTTGTATACAGCCTCCAATAAGCTGCAAACCTCATGCTCCCAAGGCTGGAAACTAACAGATCACAGGACTATAAATGGTGAAAAAATAACTTGGCCTCAAAAAAAAGGGGACAGGAAGAGCTGATCAAATGGATGAAGAGCTTTGAGAAAAACCTCTTCCTTTTCCCCCTCTCTCAACCCAAAGCTGGAAGAGAAATGTAAAGGGAACAAACTATGCCAGCCAAGCTACGGAGATCTCATGGACAGGGTGTCTAGGATAGGTAGACCCACGTAGATTTATGGTTAAATATCCATCAAGCTACATAAGTGTTTTGTTCCTTTAAATCTTTTTTTTCCTCTAAAATCCTTTACTTCCAGTAAATAACCTGTTGCTTTAAAAAAAGGACATCTTGTCACTGGGTATCCTTATCATTGCTCCTGGAGGTTTTTAGCCTAAGTCACACTTGCTTAGGTAATCATAAATGATTCATAGGAGACTGAAACTCAGGGTCCAGTTTAAGAGTACGGGATTCACGTGAGCAGTTGCCTGAAAAGGGACAAGGGATTTATACTACACAAGGGACTTGCAGGAGGTCAGAGATGGAAATAACCTAGTAATTGACACAGGGTGCAAACTGAACTCAGACTTTTGCTTGGGGGGGGTGGGGGGGTTGACATGGAAGACTTCACATCTTCACCAGAGTTTTGAAAGTGCAACTTGTATTGTACAAGTAAACAGAAAGCACAAGAATGGCTACAAATGCACCCATATGACTTTTCCAGTGTGCTGAACTTTGTTTTTGGGATCAGACTATCATCACTTTCAAAGCTGCACTGTTCCCAAAGAACATTTTTTACTCTTCATCCCTGATTAATTTTCCCCAATAGTTCTTCCCCAGGAATGATTTCTCATGGCTTCATTTGTATCAATAAGGCTTTTATCAGATTGGCCTGGGATACTAACAAATGGCCTGGAATTCCAAGGTAATTATATATTCCAAGCCATGTAGACTGATTAACAAGCACAGGCAACAGAATTCTAACAGTCTTACTATAAACAACTTACATGCAGATTTCTCACATTTCCTCCACTCTTTTCAGTTAGTCTTCAGATATGCAAGACTAGAAATATTACTTTAATACTATAGGACCCTCCTTACCAGACAAAACCATCTTCCCCCACAAAACAGGAATGGGTTCTGCCCCCCGAGACTATTTTTTCCTCTTGGTGGACTGACTCATGAGCAGGACACACATCAGAATTCTGGCAGTAAGTGTGAATTCATCCCAAGTGAAAAACTGGCTTCACTGAAGTCAATGGCAAAACTCCCATTGACTTAGAGTTAGGGTTTCATGCCACACCTCTACATAAAGTGCGAGTAAAGCTTGACTGATAGATAAAACATCACAATGAAGTACAAAATTGCCTATATTCATATTTTGTACTTTTAGGCAAATTTTAGCCATTTGCCATTACTAACTGTAATGTAATGTACTTTTTTAACTAATTGTAAATGTAAAATAAGCCAAGAAATACAATACTACTATGGCATACACTGGGAGCTAAAACCATAGTTCTACAAAAACTTAGCAGTTTAAATGAAGACAGGGAAGAAACAGAGAAAGAAGTACGACACACACAAAGCCACAAGAATAAAGTTATAGCAATTTTTCAGTAATCTCCAAATTTATGACAAGGTTCTGTTTGGCTACAGTGCTTCAGCTGGCATATGTTCAAATACTGTTGATCCAATGGATCCCCAAAGCTATACCTATACTATCTGCCTTAACTCCTTAATTTACGAGAGAAGTGCATCCACCAGAATTCACCAACAGGAATTTAGGAAAGTGATATGAGATTGCCTAAATAAGAATATAATCTCTAAGAAGTGTTGTGCAAATTTTCATGGTCAAGAGTAGCAAGGATTTCTATGGAATATTTCACCAGAGAAACAGAACTTCCAATAGCATAGTGTCCAATAATGTTGTACTGGGGGTAAAGTGCCCCATTTCAACACTAACCAGATGCAGTATAGCTCAGCTTGTGATATTAGACAAGGCAGAAGGACTGCAGGCCTCTCCACTATGCATTTAAGAGCAGACCATTGCACCAGGAACCAAGTTAAAACCATAGGACAGACAAGTTAGTTATCCAAAGACTCTGTTCTGATCATTGAATGGTACAGAACATTGGTTTTCTAATATTATCCCATGCACTTTCCTTTTTAAATAAATAATATTCACATTTAACATTAGAGAAAAGATCACTGAACAAAACAGATTCAAGTGAATGAAAAAAGCTGTTGGGTAACCACAAAAAAACACAGAAAGCTTACAGTCTTCATCAAATGTGGTTCAGACATTCCAAATTGTGAAAAGTAAGAGAAGTAAAGCATTTCAAAATGTTTACAATATGTAATTTAACTACTACTGGATTTTTAAAAGTGTATGTATTTTTTTCAACAAAAATGCAACTCTGCAACTCATTTTACAGGAAAAAAGTCAAGATTATGTTGAAAATATTTTCAGACAATGTGCTAATGCATATTGTTCCTCTTCCAGAAAATGGGCAGGTTCTAATCACATAGATTCTTTAGCTAGACAAAGGAAATCAACCTACCGCTATAATATCCAGAGTGTTGTCACAGACTTTGCGGATCTCAGCATTCTTATCATGCATCAGGTCTATAAGATATGCTGGAGCCTCTGGGAAGCAATGGTTAAGGATGTAAAGTTGATTTTACCAGTCATGGATTCTTCTAACTGGAAGGATTTATTAGGAATCACACTGGGGAACATTCTGCAGCACATGAGAGTCATGAGCTTCATGTGCTAAGTCAGCTAAATAGTCATATAAAACTCCTGAAGGAGATATACATTCCTCTTACTGAGAAGTCTACATTGTCTGGCTCATCATGAGAAATCCAGCCATATGAACACTGTGCTACAGGGTTTACATTTTATTCAATATTTAGCATTTCTGTGAAATAGATTAGGCTCTTTTTAAACCTTAAAGGCAATAAAAAGTTAAAGACTGATTTCCAAATTATTTGTCCCACATAACAATAACATTTAAAGCATATGTGTAGGGAAACCTGGAATATACTTCTACAGGTCTGATCTTGGCTAGATAAGTGAGATGTTACTCAAATTGCATTTTTGTTGCTGTTGTTGACTATGTGACTACACAGAAGTAAAAATAGATGCCCCTCCCTGCAATTAAAAACAACCAAGAATGGAGATATTATAGTCAGGAAGACTACAGGAAATGGAAGAAATGGATGTTGGTGCAAGATACTGAAGTACTTCAGTATAAATCATATAGTACCTTCAAGGCCTTGCTGGAGAAAACAAAGGAAAGATTGGCTACTGTTAGATCTGCAGAGTGCATTCGTTACCTGGAATCAGAGGGTGAGCAGACATTCACTTAATGGCACAATCATGCCACGTGCATGGCAGGAGGTACTATTGTTGGGGTTGGGGCCACTGCCAGCAGGGAGCCCAAGGCATGGGTTTGCAAGTGCAGGATGGGAAGGGTGCAGGGGGGTGAGGTGGAAATCAACTGACTGACTCCTCCTGCCTGGCACTGAAACACAGACTCCCTGCTGGGACCCCAGGATCAAGAAGCATCTCCCCAGTCCCTAAGTCCCTGTTTGCTGAGACTTTTACAAACCATGTGTGAAGCTCAGCTGCTCTGGGACTTGAGGGGTAAAGGCAGTCAAGAAGAGTTGTATACTACTGTTAGCTCCCCAAGATCCATTGTTTTAAAGTGCCCTGCCCCACATCCCCACAGGGGCTGTAGAACAAGGCAGGGGAGGCTGCCAGGCACAGGGGCTGCTAAGTTCCCATAGAAGGAAATCCCTTGACTGTCTGCCCTGCCAGGAAACCTTACAACCTGTTCCCCTGGCAGCCCATTTTTGGCATCAAGACTGGAACTGTCCCCATCCCATTGCTGACTCCCATCCCAATACCAACAATCAGCTGATGGTCAGCATCAGCATGGGCATGTTATTTGTGCAAATTATGGCCAAAAGGATGGTCCACATATTTTATGGAACATCTTTGTGGCTTGTCTGTCACTTTATGGCTCCATAAATCAGCTGCACATGTAGCACTGCTACTATTTATGATAGAATTTACATGTTAATCACACCTTAATTGTAACATGTGCCAGGGACCTAACAGTTTCACATGATGGTAATTGCAGTGAGCACAGGTAAATTTTATATATATATATAGACTGCTGTATATAAAAAATATACAGAGACTGCTGACTACTATAGACAGGAGACTGCTGTCTGTCTGACACTGGCCCTGACCAAGGTCAGGGCCAAAGTCAGAGCCACAGCAGCTGCCTGCCCCTCACCCCTTTGTATATTAATCTAAGACAAGGGGCTCCCCCTGATGTTGACTGGGGGGGACGGACACAACTTGTCTTATATTTGAGTAAATATGGTAAATCTATAGCAGAATTGGTGCAACACTACTAAAACATGCAACTCCTTCCAGTAAGTCCCAGGATCTCTCAAAACCTTCTAGCCTGATTAAACAAAGATTGTAAGCAAGCTCCTATGGGGAAAAGAGCAAGAGAATCTGGGCTTAAAGAAAAAAAGCACTCTTAAGAACTACTACTTACTTGTCATAAGAGTGGGAGAAGGACATGATGGGCACATCTGGCTATTAAGTGACCAGACTTGAGATTTGATATCTTGTGACCTTTTAGAACTAGAAGGTATTCTACAATATTATACCCAAGATCTCCCAGGTTTCCACACAGAATATATTCTTAGTTCAGTAAAGACCAAAAATATCAGACCATAGACTGCATTATATTCTTGTATCTGGAAGATATTTTAGGTGGCTTTGGAATCATTACTATTACTCATTGCTTATGTACTACCTACAGTGTGCTAGACATTTCACAGAATGCAAGGCAAACATGATTTGACATGAAAAGCATACAAATCTGAGACCCGATTCAAAAAGCCCATTGTAGTAAACGTGCCCTTCAACTGACTTCAGTGGGTCTAGACTGGGGCCCAATTTAAATCATATTTCAAAACAGGAAAGATAGCAAGAGGAAGTGATAAATGGAGAACTGGAGTTCTACTTAAGTTCTTTCAAATTGAGCAAGTCAACGAACTGAAGCAAAAATGAACAGAAACAGAATGGCCATTAGCACAGAAACAGACTAAAGGAAAGAAAGCAAGGAACTGAAATCAAAGAGAGCAGAAGGATAGGAATGGTTTGTGAGAGCAATACACACAACAGGAACTCTTGGGGTAAGAAGTAAAAAAAACCCCAAAAACCTAGATGACAGTTGCTTTGAAGAAAAGAGAGGAGCAGGAGGAGAGATGAGAAATGGCAGGAGTGTTAAAAGTTGACTCAATTTTACTTTTCCCTCTGAGCCTGTTAAAGCTGAAATTATGATCTCTAACGTACATGGCTTTACAAGGAAAAGGGTATAAGAAACGGTCATACCCAAATATTTCATATTACTCTTTCTGTAGAGTACGCAACATACATACAACATTGATAACATGGTGTGATACAAAAAGTTATCAATGCTCATTTTAACTACCATATGCAAGCCATCTGCATAATATCTTCTAAAGATCCTTGTATCTTATACCTAAAATATTTGGACATTATTTTGATTGAAATGATACCAAATCAATCTTACCTTTAGGAGTTTACAAAATTACAGTGAATGATTTCCATCACATGAGAAGCATATGTAGAAACAGCAGCAGATTAAAAGCACTGTAATTCTAAAGGTTTCACATTTAAAAAGGATACGAGTCTCCTTGATGATGACATCTCTAGTGGCCTGGTGAAAGACCATCTGGTAAAAGACATAAATGATTTGGCAGACAAACTCATCATCTTCCTGTTGAGCTTGAAGAAAAGAGAAAAGCATTTCTTCAAGTCACTGAAACAGAGTAGGCTACTACTATATATTAACAAGCGCTGTGTCAAGCTCTTAGGTAAACTGGAGGGTGCAGACAACATACTGATTGCAATTTCTAATAATCATTCCCACCCACAAACACAAAGCTTTCAGAGCTTCACCCAACTTCCAGAGTCAGCCTCAAGACTCCAATTGACTTTGGTAAGAACTGGATTGGTGTAGAAAAAGCAAGCTGACTAGACCTTTGCAGAGGCATAAACAAGGTTCTGAATCCTGGGCAGCAGCAGCAGCAAAGGCAGTAGCAGTTAGGTTGGCACTAGTGGCAGCACAGTTCTTCCACCCCCTCCACACTGGCACCCAGTCATGTCCCTGTTGCCCATCCATAGTTATGCTCCTGGACCTTTGTTCAGCACAGTCTCTGCCAGTGATAGAATTACATCACCACACTCACATAAAGGACATCTGTAGCTTCTCCTAAGTTACACTTGGAGGTGGCATCTAGGTCAACTGGGAAGTACCTTTGAAAAAAATAGTCCCAGAAGGAACTGGATAACATACCATTTAGAAGTTCAATGAGTGCTGGAATGATTCCAGATTTGGCTAGAAGAGCAGCACAGGAGTCATCCATGGACACAGTTCCAATCATTATTACTACTTCTAAAACAAGATCATCCTCTGCAGAACCTGGTAAATTAAACAGAAGATAGCTGTGTGTGTAAGAAAGCCCTTTGCTGAATCTTTGGCTATGTGTTTGTTCTTTTGGTTTTCAGGATTTATGTTAATTCATACATCCAAAAGACACTAGAGGAAAACAGACCATTTTGGAAGACTAACCACTTTTAATACAGACCTGGCTTTAGTTTATCTTTGAGGTATGGAACTAGTTTGTATTCTTTCAGCACAAGTTCCCAGTCCAGGTCAGGTAAGGTCAGATTTGCCAATGTTCCCAGACATTCTATCGCAAATTCCTCTTCTTCGTCATTTGAAATTTGAGCTGCTAAATCACCAACATAATCCTAAACAAAATATATCAGAGCTAATTAGTAAAAGTACTGTCCATGTACAGCTTATGATTCTAAAAGATTCGTAACTTGGTCAAATCCAAAACAGCTCACACCCGAATGCTGAACGGGGTTTGTCTCTGAAATGAAGGCTATTTTTAAGTCAAATTTAAAACTTTCAATATTTTAATTGAGACTCTATAAACTACTCTACAATTCCTTTAATTCTCAAAATAACATAAAACATTTTATTCAAACTTTCCTAAACTTTATTATGGACAGAAAACGCATGCACAGAAATTCAGTCCCAAAGGGTAGAAGTTTTAGAAAGCTACCAAAAGACTTAAAAAAAGGAGATTAGGATGGAAAATGTTATACAGCCATAGTTACCAAAGCTGTCACTCTCCCAGAGCCTTACGAACAAACATGAAATTTCCATTAATTCTACTTACTAGCTGTATAGTGGTGTTAAAAGACTTAATACTATTCAGTATCAACTTTATTAAGAGATCTGCAAATCAAATTATCTCATTATTTACCACATTTTTTAATATAACCAAACACCAACTCTTTTCTGTCTGTGAATTCAATGCTAATGAGAGTATTGGACAGGCAGTCCCAGAGGATCACAGCCCTCAACTTACAGAACAAACGCAGTGTAAGAAGCGACAGCAAGAGACATTCCTTATACTTGGATCTTTCCCT